GATATACCCCAGAAAATCGGTTTAAAAACCTGAGATTCCAAACATACCCTGGGTTTCTATTCCTTGATGTCTGAGATGGCAAAGCGGCATGTTTCCTCAACTTCCAACCTCAACTAGCTTCCTATCTTCATGTGAGGACCCTTTTTATACAGGTTTCATGGCCACTCAGTAGTTTCACCTGGCAATGGAAATCCCTCCATCTGGATTTGTCTAAAATAGGGCACCCATATCATACTGGCTGGAAATATCTCCCATGATATCCCATAAAATATCGTTGATGGGGATTTCCCAAATAGCCATGTTCGATTACCAGAAGTTGTATAAACCCAATAAAAACATCCATGAACTATAGAATACTATAGATATATCGACTGACTATAAACTCAAGTTTTACCTTGGGATATGAACTGTCTATAAACTATAGATACCCTCTGGTAATTTAACATAGCTATGGAAAATCCACCCATTTTTAATGGGAAAATCCACTATTTCTATGGTCATTTTCAATAGCTATTTTGACATAACCAGATGGTAAAATCTTGGGATGTACCACCAGCACGCGCCTCAGCCAGCTTGACAGCTGCTTGTGCGTCCAAGCGGTTTCTCTTTGCGAAGTCATGGATCTGCGAGGGTCCCGCGATGATTGAAACAAAAAATGGGGGAAAATGAGCAACGAACCATAATGGATAACCTAATATATTCCAATATTGCTGTGTAATATATATATACATACGAACCATTTATACATATATATATATATAATTGTATATATATATATATATATGTAAAACCTATATGGGATGCATGGCGGTCATCTCAGCACAAAACTGGGAATCCAAACATCAGCATATACCGTAGCGGATAAAAATTGATTGGTGACTGTCCAATAAGGGTGTGTATCATCCAACTGTTGGCCATGGCCCACACAGTGGGATACAAAGGCGGAATATGTTGGGATGCAAAAAATATATATATATATACATATGTATATACATGTGTATATACATATCTATATACAAATGTCTATATATATATGTGTGTGTACATATGCAACAAAATGGGCTAAACAAGCATTTTATGGGAACAGAATGGATGTTCAAAACCCCTGACTTGTCAGGGCATCCTATTCCAAACCCCTGAAATGGCGACGCGGCGACAACCGGTACCAAATTTGTGAGGCAAATGGCTGGGATGTTGCCATTCGATGAATTTGTCTGCAATTCGGCTACCCAACTTCACTGCTTAGCACTCATTTCCCAATCACAAAAGTGCCACTTGGCTCGCCTCCACCGATTTTTTTTCACACCAAAAAAAGGGGTGGCCACTTCTTCGCCCAACCATTCAACCGCATTGCCCGAAACGTTGCGGAAAAACTTCCCTCTCCGGCCCGGCGCCTTCTTATCCAGCGCCGTCATGCCCTTGAAGGTGCCCATGCGCATGTCTTTCAGTTTCATCATCAGCATCCCTCCGTGGAAGCTGGGGATGGGTACCAAGAAAATATGAGGCCTCAAGCAACAGAAGTTTCTTGAAAATTTCGCTGAAAAAAACAACATTTAAATAGGAACATCAAAGTAAATAACAAATTGTCCTGCAGAAGGCATCAATTTGTTTCTAATTCCATTCCATTGTAGATATATCGAACAGAGAGCTTGGTTGTTCTAGTTACAAACCAACTCACCCAATGGGGGGTTCAATACTATTGAGCCATGGCCGTGAAGGATTGTGGAGATGGTTTCTACTTATAGCACAGTAACACCCAAAAAAAAACGGAAACGCAGTTCTGGGTTGGTAGCTCTAGTTTGGTTTCCGTTTTTCCCTATAGTTTCCAGGTCTTCAACTGGTCTACTTTTTTCATCCATGCCCGGCGCCTGATGGGTTCTTTGCCCCTTCGAGACCAACCCAGAGAGCTTGCAGGTCGGATTCGAACCTGTGAACCATGGGTTTTACCCAGCGTATGTGTACATGTCATATATGTATCTATGTGTATGTATCCCTATATGAGTATATGCATAGGCATCTGTGTATGTATATCTATATATATATGTATATCTATCTGTCTGTATTACTGTAAATGTATGTATAGGTATCCGTGCATGTATATGCGTATGGAAATGGAAATGGATATGGATATGGATATGTACAATCATATGTATATGGATGTATATATATATATGTGTGTGTATTTATATATATATATGTGTGTGTGAATGTACGTATCGACGTATCTAGGTACCTATTGTCTACGTATGTGTATCATGTATCTGTATATATGTGTATCCATGTATCGATGTATCTATGTATCTATTTATCTGTGTATCTATGTAGGTACGTGTATATATATATCTATCTATCTATCTATCTATCGATGGATCGATCGACCTATCTATCTATCGATCTATCTACCTATCCATCTATCTATCCAATGTATCTATGTATCTACGTACAGTATGTATCTCTGTATTTGTGTATTTGTGTATATATGTATCGGTTTTTCTCTGTATCTGTGTCTGTGTATCTGTGTATTTGTGTGTCTGTGTATCTGTGTATCTGCGTATGTATCCATCTATCTATGTAGCTATGTATCTATGCATCTATGTATGCATGCATGCATGTACGTATGTTGTTACCCAATTCGCGACTTGGATGCGCATGCAAGTATCTAACCAACCTGAGCTGTGAAGATACAGGCCTAGAGTCCATCTGAAGATATTGACCCATCGTCATATAGATGCCTGTAGGATAGATTTGGTGGCATGACTAGCGTCAACAATGTATGTATTTATATGTAGCAACCAAAAAGAAGAAAAGTACAGGCTTACTAAAAACTGATAAATTACCTGTCCATCATCTTTTGCGGAGTACCATATGTATATATATATATAGATTTAAGAAACGATATGCAGCTCATATTGAGCCACACGTCCGCAGCAGCGAGCCCTTAGCTGGTTACTTATTTCAGTTTTGGGGTTAGACAAGTCCATTGCTCGGGATTTTCTGCAATTGGTGTCAAGAGATGAAGGAAAAGGGTGGTGTTATACCATTGTTTCATACTAACGCATAAGAATTGTTTTAATTCTACTATGGTGAAATGTTGGTAAGAGGAGTGAGTCAATTGGCCGAGAAGTGGGGAAGGTTATGAAAAATGGTGGCTCTATGTGCTGCTTCGGCTAAGGCAAGTTCTGGCCAGTGTGCCCGTGGAGTTCCCCTTCGAAATGGGGAAGAAATTGTATGGCGGGAGTGAGAAGGATTGAACATGATAATAGATTCTGCTGAGTCGGGGTGACGGAGGATGTGACCTAGGCATTTAATTTGAGAACCGGAAATACGCATGGAAGAGGGAATGCACGATGGAAGGACAGGATATGCAAGTGAAAGGAGGAATTCATTGGAGTAGGGAGAATCAGTAGGAGAGAGAACACGATGGTAGTAGGGACTCTGAATTTGGAAAATTTGGCGACGTGCTTTATAGTGGCGCCTGTCAATTTTTGTAATTTGTGCTGGGGAGTAGATAGTGTGGCAAAATCTAAAGCTCATGCCAATTGCCTATATCCATATACAGTAGATATGTGGACATGGAATGGATACGATCAAGATATATTTGTTCATGACAGCAAATGGAATACCAATGCCATGCAGTGTTGAGGTCAATACTATTGAACCAAAGACACATGAAGATTGACAAATCTCTAAAAAAATCAAGAGATCCTAGACAGAAGCAGTGGAGGTCTCGCTTGGAATGCAACATCTTGGCGTCATTTTGAAGCCCCGATGTTGGAAATGTTCTGTACCGCTTATGACCCTCCAATTGTGGAAGTTTGGATGCCCATTCCAGCTCAGCGGCTTCGGAACCAGAAGATCCCCGGTGTTGTACATTGTATGTATAGAAATCCATATATATATATACATATATATATATGCATATTAATTATACCTTTTTCATAGATGTATGTATGTATATATATATATAATTCGTGTGTTTACATATAACGTTCATATATATATATATATACAGTATATATTCATGTTACTATCCAGTTGCGACTCCTGCGTCCCACACATGTCACATCACCAAGCAGCGTCTCTCTTCGCTTCTTCATCTCTTCGTCGAGGGCACGAGTGGCTCGCTCATCTGCGACGGCGCAAACCAAGAATCAATGGGTGATGGCCATCCCACCTATGTATATTATATATATAATATATGTATAGAATATGTGTGTATATATAATATGTACAATATATATATATACACATAATATGTAAATATATAATATGTACAATATATATATAATACGTATAATATGTATAATATATATATATATCATAATGTGTCTGTACTGAATGTATATACTATGTGCATATATGTCTATGTCTATAACAGTTTATATGTATCATCCTAGGTTGATGAATGGCTCTGGTATGCTATGGTCATCCCAAGTCTTGACCCCATTTCGGTGGCCACCCTGGTTGGTGGCCAAATAAAAGGGCTGGGTCACCGAAATAGGGCTGGTAGATGCTGGTAGATCCCCATGAGAATATAGCATATAGAACTTCAGTTTCAATTCAATCAATATGTATTCAAGTAAGATTTTAGGTTTTCCCAAGCATGGATGCAGAATCTTGGTTTGTTGAAAAGAGCAGAATCATGTCGCTTAGAAAATCATGCGCGCCACTAACATGACCATAACTTTGAGTAAATCTACAGACCGAACAACTCATCAGGATTTGGCCTCTGGTTGCCTTACCTCGCTGGTTGGAAAACCCACATCCTTTCTTGGTAAAGATCGCTACATATAAATGATTTTCCAGCCATGTTTGATCACTGGAGGGTAACAGGGATGAAATGAGGAGCTTCACCACCGAACGGCCCTCTAAACTTTGGCAGTGACAGGCTTCCCCAAGCCCACCCAACACATCATGAAACCAGCCGATGTCTAAAATTCAAAAACAAAACGTGTATCTTCTTGTTTATCATCAAACATCACAACCCATGTTATTGACATGATGTGACCCCAGCCAACCCCAACCAGCTGGCGCCCCCAGCACCTAAGCTATGATACTCAGCCAGCTCTGCAACCTGTGGGTCGATGCCGGCGCTTTTGATCTGCTCATACTCGGTGGCCACCTGCTGGAACCTGGCGAAAACGCGAAACATGTTGGGGAAGGAAGTTGTGGTGGTCGATGGTTAAGTTAGATCTAGATCTTTTGGATAGATGTTTTGTGGATGGTGCTTTCAGGCTTGGACCTGGAGAAGCATTGGCGTTTGAATGTTTTACCCACCAATAATCAAACTTTTGACCAGAAACACATCTATGAATAGGAATTTTCCAGTGCCTGCTGACTGGAGAGTGGCTCTGAGATCATCTCTGATCTACATTCAAGGTCATTTTCTTGATGTGCATCTAGAGTTCAGTAAGCTTCCCAGAAATGAGTGTTCTTTGAACCATGGCCCATCCCCATGGCCTCATTTGTGCCAATGCCTCAGAGTCTAAGGATCCAGGTGCTGGCGGCATCCCTGGCAGCTTGGGCATCCCCGGCGGGTGCCCCGGCAGCCCAGGCGGTAGCCCAGGCAGCCCTGGGGGAAGGCCGGGCAAGCCAGGCGCACCGGGCAGCCCACCAGCGAGGCCGGGGGGGAGCTGGAGACCAGGAGGTGGGGGAGGCAACTTCAAACCCAGCAAACCTCCACCAGCTTTGGGATCAACACCTGGCAAAGCTGCGAAAGCCCAGAGTTTCTGCAAGGTTGATTCAGGATGGGGAGAAGTTGAGAAAGTGAGTGAAGTGTGGTAGGCAAAAGGGATAAACCTCATGTCTGAAAATGATGCCGGAATGAGTCACCTTGCAAACCAAACGAGAAAATCTTCATTGGCGATGTGCAAAACTCCTTACAGTTTCAAGTTCTGAGCTTTGGTCCTCACCGTATAGCACCTTGCCTGGCGGCAGTTGCATGCCCGGTGGCAGCTGCAATCCGGCTAATCCGGGCATTCCCGGCACCCCCGGCGGCCCCGTGGCCCCTGGCGGTGGCATGCCTGGGCCACCTGGAGGTAGCATGCCGGGTGGCAAGCCCGGTGGGCCGCCTGGTGGCATGCCGGGCGGCATGCCCGGTGGCCCACCAGCCCCTGGTGGTCCGAGGCCAGGCATTGGAAGGGGCGGAGCTCCAGGATAGCCCGGAGGAGGAGGGAAGCCCAGGGCTGCAGGATCCAACGCTCCTGGTGACGGGATGTGAAGGACTGAAAGGAGCATCCCTATAGATTTGGAAATCGTGTCCCTTGGAGGTGTGGCCAGTTGCTGAGAATGAAATTCCGACTCAAGGCAACCAACCAGTTGGTCCTGCTGGAACACTAGGAACAGGGGCATCTCCTTCTACCCCACCTTCCTTTGGTGCGCGGTCGCAAGGATAGAACTAAATTAAAAACTTGTGATAAATTCCGATGGCTAGCAGCTTCATGAGAACAAAAGATACAATGAACACTGGCCGGATGGAGTTGAAATCGACCTTCAACCACTCCGGAAAATTGTTGATTTTTGGTGGTTGTCTCGCTGGTCGTCAAAAATTGTGTGGCTAAAATGGGTGATACCGGTTCCTACGTATACGTACACGCATGCACATTCTTTTGTAAACATGTGTACATACGTATGTCTACATGTATATAAACACATATAATATGATATATAGTTATACAGTTATAGATAGTATGTGTATATATATATATAACTATATATAATTATATATACATCACATGCACAGCGAGTTTTCATGGATCAGGATCTAAGGATTTTCCACTAAAGAGAGTAGTGCTGGGGATGATCATCCTTTATGGTCCAGAAATATGGTAGCCTCTGGTTAAAAAAAAAAGTTGGACCCTGATTTTATCACCCATTTTTTTCATGGAAAGATTTTTCAACAAGACCCCCGATGACTGGCAGGGTCGTCATGTGAATTTACTGGAGGATAATAGAAACTTAGGAACCACCAACCAGCAGATTTCAGTGGATTTCGATGGATTTTCAATGGATTTCAGCAGAAAATCGATGGATTTCAATCGAAATCAAAAACGCTCCCTGATTCTGAATGAGACCCGTTTTGAAACCCAGATGCTCCACCGCGTTTTCGACCCATCTTCGATGCGGGCTGAAAACCTCGAGCTGAAGCTCCCAACCATTTCCGCTGGCCGGTCACCGGTCACTGGGGTCAAACACTTGCCAGTTAGAACCCATGAAAATGAGCATATGGGGGTACCCCTAAATCATCCTTTTGAATGGGATTTTCCATTATAATCCATTTGGGGATACCTCCATGACTATGGAAACCCCCATATCACATCATATCACTGGAATTGGAATCTTTGGAATCTGAATTTGTCTTTATCATATTCTAGGGGAAAAAAAAGAAACAGTGGTTGAGAAAATGGTTTTCCCAAATCGATCGCCTTCCAAGTAACCCAAGCACCCCGCAGCCCACGCAAATCGCGGCGACACCCGAGGCTCAACGGTGCCTCACAACCTCTTTTTCTGGCGGTTGACACAACGTTGAAGCACATCTGTTTGCTGGAAAAATATGACTGGTGGCCATGATCTTGAATTTCTGTTTTGGAAGAATCCCTAGTTTTAATTTGTTCAAGAAATATTGTGTGGTGTTTTCCACATGTCAGAGTGTGCTTGTTTGGACCGGACTGACAAAAACACGAGGTCATGCACCGCCAGTGGCCAAGGTTCAACCTGTCGAGCCAATTTGTTCACCGCGGGTTTTGAAATTTGGCTGCGGAACTACAGCTACAACCCCACGGCAATGAGTGAACGTGTAAATTCAAAATAATTTATCAAATAGGCTATCTCTGGATGGCTCTTGCAAGATCCAAATCAGATTTGAGATGATACTCATGGTTTCTACCCAGCGAGACCCAGCAGTATAATTAGCCATCTAAAGAAACACCATTTGATAAGGGGAGAACGGCAAATGCCAACCATAATCCCAAAAATTGCCTGGTATCCAGGGTTCTCATCCCGATCTACAGAAATAGAGCGGTGCTGAGGGCCCGCACCTGTAGACCTCTTTGGATGAAGGTACCGGGTGGTCTCATCGGCTCTCCAGACCTGATCACTTTTCTTTACGGTTCATGGTTATCATCCATAATATGTATATAAGGTATAACATTATATAACATTATGTATACATATACTATAAGTAGTAGTAGTTCTGGTCATCGGTTATCATCCAGGCTTGACCTGTTTCAGTTGACCTGTTTCGTCAACCGATGAGGCCCCGCACTCGTGGCCCACCTCACAGGATCTCCAAGGCGTTTGCAACCCGGGTGGTTTGGTGTAGCAGTAGCAGCTACATGTAACCGTTAAAACGTACGTTAAAACGAACCATTGCTACGTTAAAACGAACCATGTAATTAGTAATGTAGTGTAGACATGGAGATCCCTGTAGCCGTCTTTCCAAAGCCCACCTGTGGTGCATGCATGGGAGGCGGTGGTGTAGCTGCTATCCTGACACTGCTGATTTGGGGTGGACTCCCAAGGGTAACATCACTCAGCAGGTATCTCAGCAGGTCATTCCCAAAAAAGATAGAACAGCAAACCAAAATGAGGAATTACTTTAATGATCTACACCAAGGCGTCCTGAATAAGAAGGAAACTCACTAACCAGTCTCACGAAACTGTTCAGATCTTCCGTGGAATTTCGGTGGAATTTCGAAGAAGCAAAAAATGGTGCCTAAAGGCACCGCTTTTCCTCCAAGTTGGAAGGGTTTTTCACACCATATTGAGGGAAGGGTTGGCATATTTTCCGTCCTGGCTGTTGGAGACATCTCAGGGTACCTGGCTCTGACAATTCGTCACATGGCTGGAAAATCTGGCAGCAATCATTCGGCCACCTTCCGGTAAACTAACATAGCTTTTTTAATTCATTGTTAATTTACCTATTAAAGATGGTAATTTTCCAGAGTTCTGTTAGCTTACTTACCAAAGAGTAATTGTCCCATAAAAATGTGAAAGCCCATGGCTAGGCCATCAAGATTTCCCAGCGGCCATGTGACTAATTCCCGCTGCTCACATCATTGAGGTATGGGGTTCAAAGTCTCTGGCGGTGCCAGCCAGGAGCCATAGTTGTGATGCGTCCAGTGTATCCGGAAACCATTCCATTGTGGTCATGTACCTCCAATGTCAATGGATTGGTTTAAGGGAAAATTTACTGGTTTAAGCCCCATATTTCATGGGAAAATCTATGGTTTCCGGTTGAGATTTTCCCAACAAAACCAATCGATTGAAGATGTGGTCAGTTGTAACTTTCGTAAACTCATTTCTAGTCGCTGTTCTTAGATATCTTCCAATTTGTCGCTGTTCTTAGGGAAGCTGCCAGCAGAAACGAGAGCCAGAGAGGCATCTGGCCAACCGAGAGCCTGGCAGAAACCTGAATTATTACCCATATGGCCCATATACATGTATATATATATATATATTAGTTATATAACTATATACATATATATTATGCATATATGCATATATGCATATGTTGCAAACACCAAGTCTGCTTGAAATATGTCATAGTTCACCAAGCTGAAATCTCCGACCCATTTGGTGCAGCCTTTGAGGCTCTGAAACGGAAAAAAGGTGCAGAAATCACCCCCCATTTGGATGATTTTCCCAGCTAAGGTGGCCTCAGTTCTGGGATTTTTAGGGCCACCTGTGACACCGCCCCATAACAAACCACTCCATTGAGGTCCAAACGACCCTTGTCCTGCGCGGAGATACGCAAAAAGGATAGAAAAATACCCTGGTGGTAAATATGGGCCTCAATTCCTCACAGTAAACTGGGATAAAACATGTGTTACCAACAGGGATTATATAATGGGGACACCCCAAGAGGGCTGGCAATTGAGGCAAAAACGGAATCCATGTAATGGGGATGTGTTGTGGAATGTATTTCACCAATCGGATATCAGTTTTTCCAGAATGACAAATAAATACTTCATTTCATTGCAGACTTAAGAGTATATCAGTGGGATAACAAATGGATAGGTATAACGCACAATGGGGATAAATGTCACCAACCATTTGTCAGGATTTGTCCAGAAATCAGGAATCACAAATCACCATAAAAACATACGGAAAATTTTCTGATCAACCATCGGATTTGGATAATTCAATGCCAACAAGCATTGTATGGGTCCACAAGGGGGTACCCCACCTTTGGGCCGTGGAAATACCCCTGGGTTCATACCGCTGGCTTCAGAACGGACTTCCCGGGACTCTGACAATCCTCGATGCATTGGTAAGGATAGTCCCGATATACAATCAACCAACACAGCTGTCTTGCAGCCACTTCTCTAATTGGTTATATACATTTGGAGGTGTCCTAAAATGGGGGTACCCCCATTTTAATCATCCATTTTAGATTGGGATTTTCCATGAAACAAACCATCCATTTGGGATACCTCCATGACTATGGAAACCCCCATGACTCATCATGTCCTTCGTTCGGTAGGCTCGGGGCGTGCGCTGGCGGCGGATGCTGGGGAGAAATCCTCAGGAGCTGAAGCCGACAAAAATGGCATGTTATTTCACGGCAAAAGTTGGGTCTTCAGCAACAAAAATGATTCGTGTTAGCAAGAAACATAGAGTCTTAAAATGTTAAGAAAACACGTTTTAGTCGTGGGTTCAATTGGGAAAGGTTGGGTCTTCAACAGCAAGAATCGGGTTTAAAGCAACACAAGATTGGTCTGTTTCTCACCTCTGCGGAAATTTTCGTATTTGATGGTGGTGATACCTTTTTTGGACAGTCAGGGTGGAGGGATGAACATCCATGGCTGCTAACTGGCTGCCCTGCTGGATCAACCCATCAACCCCAATTATGTTAGGGATAACTTCTAGGAATCCATGATGTTACGAGCTACGACTAGTAGTTCAACTACTAGGAATTGGTGAGAACATTGGGATAACTTCTAGGAATCCATGATGTTACGAGCTACGACTAGTAGTTCAACTACTAGGAATTGGTGAGAACATTGGGATAACTTCTAGGAATCCATGATGAATCTTGACTCAACCTTTCAAACAACCCATGAGCATCCACGATCACTGGTGAAGAACCATGCTTGTTGCCCAGCTGGATAAGCCGAAATGGGAGCTATGGGAGCTCGATAAAGTCCCTAAGTTTCGGTGACCCAAGACTTGTACGTATGTGCGAAAATGGGGATGCTGTCGCAGTGCGAGCAATCAAGAGACATGGATGTTGTGCTTTTGTAGATTCGGCTGACCGATGGAGGAAATTCTGCTCATGGATATACAACAGCAGTGGTTCAGTTCACCCCTTGCGGCCCAAGTCATGGTGCTCCAAGACCCAGGATGCAGACGAGCCTCTGCTGAAACTGAGGTTGCATGCCATAGGGCTGAGCATGCTGTTGCTGTGCCTGCTGTTCTTGTTGCTGCGGTGAATGTAGCTTCTGGGGCTGTTGTTCTTGCAGTTGTTGCTGTTGCATTTGCTGCTGCTGCAACTGCTGCTGCTGCTGTTGCTCATGCAGCAATTGGTGCTGTTGCTGTTGGAATTGTTGCTGCTGCGTTTGCTGCATTTGGTGCTGTTGCAATTGCTGTTGTTGCATTTGCTGTTGCTGCATCTGCTGTTGCTGCATTTGCTGCTGTTGCATTTGTTGTTGCAGCTGAAGTTGTTGCAGCTGCTGTTGTTGTTGCAGCTGTTGCTGCTGTTGCTGTTGCAGCTGCTGCTGTTGTTGCTGCTGTAGCTGCTGCTGTTGCTGTTGTAGCTGCTGTTGCTGCATCTGCTGCTGTTGTTGCTGCTGCAACTGTTGCTGTTGCAACTGCTGTTGCTGCATCTGCTGGTGTTGTTGCTGCTGCAACTGTTGTTGCTGCATCTGCTGTTGTTGCTGCTGCAACTGTTGTGGCTGCATCTGCTGCTGTTGTTGCTGCTGGTGCTGTTGTTGCTGTTGCAACTGCTGCTGCTGCTGCTGCTGCTGCTGCTGCTGCAACTGTTGTGGCTGCATCTGCTGCTGTTGTTGCTGCTGGTGCTGCTGCTGCTGCTGCTGCTGCAACTGTTGTGGCTGCATCTGCTGTTGCAGTTGCTGCGTTGCAGGCTGTTGCACCTGTTGCATCTGCATCTGTTGCCCTTGAAACTGAAATTGTTGCAAGTTCTGAGCCATGAAGTTTGGGTACACATTGAATCCCTGCATCTCCTGGAAGTTCCCCATATTTTGTGCCGCAAACGGCACCGGGCCGGCGGCACCACTGGGCGAGGCCGGAGCCGTGGGGACCGAGGGCGCCGAAGAGCCGGAGACTTGCCTTGGAACGGAGAGGCGATCTCCGACACGAAGTGTAGATGTAAAATGATGGAAATGTATGTGTAAATGTAAATATATATATATATAATGATATATTATGTATGTATATACACATATATGTAGACAGATGCGTAAAGTAGTAGAGAATAGAGATAGTAGTAGGAATAGGAAGCGGAATTATACAAATGGCAACAGTAACAGTATATAGTAATT